CTTAGATAAGATTAAAACTGAAAAGAGAAGATTAACATCAATACCTGTAACTACAATGACAAGAAAAACTGCAAAAGCAATGCTGCCCCCATCATACCACCCTTCTTTCAGACCCTACCAAATACAAATGAGGGGGATTGATAAGCCTTGATGAATAATAATTATTTTGATAGAACTGGTATACAAATATAGGGACAAGATAATCATGACAAAGAACAAAAGACAATCACTTACAGGGAAGCAAGGAGAAAAAGGAGTTCTCAAAAATGAAGAACGTAAGTATAGCAAACAAGTAAAATTTATTAATCCCGACAGCAAAAGAAGCCAGAACGGAATACTAATTTGTCAAAGGAATCTGCTCAATTCACTTCACATACTACTAATACTGGACAATAATCTGTATTTAATATCAAATTTATAAGAAACGGCACTATTCATAAGCCATTCTCAGATTTCATGCAATGGATAAGGCCCACATTTAGTTTTCTAAAAGAAAGATTAAGGTAGTCACAATTTTTATGTTAATAATTTGATAAGTTTATATATTTAAGTAGTGCGTCCCATCTGACAACAATTTAGTTTATTGATTTCTTCATTTTAAGGATTTTTTTTAAAATGTTACAAAATCCTTAACGCTCGTATAATATACACAAGTTCTTTGACAAAATGGTTTGAGGGGGCTACCACATTTCGTGCTTCTCATAGTTGTGTTATATATGAGTCAACTTGTTCTTCGAATATAGACACTCTAGTCTCTTCCCCCAAATGGCATCACTCAATTGAATTTTGCATAACGACTCATCATATGAAAGAAAGTGTTTTAGACCAAGAGCTGGTCAAACAAATTTATCTCAAAATATTCTTAGACTTTTTTATTTTCAAGAGAGGCCAATGCCTCACATAGCTAAATGCAAACGTCCCCAGAACCCAGGTTCTCCCATATCCTTCCGCAAAAGTAGAAACCATTGAGTATTGACAATCCGCAATTTATGACCGGAATTGATGACAATGAGAAAACATAGAACATATGGGTGTTAAGACAACCTCTGTTTTTATTCCAAGTACTAATGACACTGCTGCTGCAACAATCAATATGATGAGGGTCAGATCTTGCCAAGCTTCCCATAAAAACCTCTGTAAAATAAACCACAAAAAGTTATCATCAGCGGAGCAAATTAGCATCTAATTCGTCAATTGTATTTTAGAATATCACAAGTTAACACCATGGCAACGTACAAAGAAACTCCTCCCCTTCTTCCGAGGATAAGTATTTGTTCCAAATGCGCTTCTCCTTCTTAATAGATCATCATTAGTACCATTAATTCCTTTCTCGGGACTTGATTTTAGTAAATTTGATAAACCTTTAACCTGAGGAAGTAACCATTGGATTACATTAGCAAAATAGTAACTTTCCCATCAGTGTAAGAACCCCAAAAATTATCTCAAGCAGACTTGCCCCTCCATATTGCTCTAAAGCAGAAAGGTCATGATCCTTAAACATTGAGACAAGTTCTTCCAGTTCAACAGCAAAATCACCGACACTGATTCGAGCTGGGGATAGCGCTGATGTAGTTATAACTGCATTGTCCCAAATATACGTTAAGAAACCATGGGTTCTTCAAAATGCAAAAACTTGCTATCATGTATGAGAAGAATTCCAGTTTCAAAAATAAACCAAGTTAACTGGCACTGACACTTCGCAAAATTGAAAGCAAGAAAGCAAGATTCCGACAACGGAATGCAGATTGGTTATAATACAGTGTTTGGCACATTGAACTCCAAATATATTATTACTGTAGTTTTGCAGTGGTGGGTCACCGCAGAAATTTCTGAAGTGCAAATGCGCTCAGTAATATCATACAGATTACAACTTATGTTACCCAAATCTATATAATTCAATAATTTCTCAAACCATCATTGGTTGTCTGCTATTAGTTTATAAAAAATTTGCAAACAAAAAAAATCAACAATAAAAAACCACAGAAGAAAGACAAAATAAAAGAATTTTAGTCATAAACCGTTTAAGTTACACCAGAAGGAGAACTAAATCATGTTCATCACCAAGCTCATGAGTTTTAAATTAAGGCACCTAGAACAAAAATGAGCAACAACTAATCGCAGATGCTGAAGAACTGCAATGCTAGTGCTAAATTCTTCATTATTTTAGAATTTCTACCAACAATTGACCACTTCGATTGATTTTCTGTCAACTGTGTCTACAAATTGCAAGCACAACCAACATCTGATTTGTTAGTTATTTGTTACAGTTACAGCGGGTTTCTTAACAATAAACTAATTATTATTAAAGCTCAAGGTAAATGAAGTTAACAAATCATTAAAAAAAAAAATTAAAATCGAATTTTAGAAGTATACCTATTTCACGTTCACCAGCCAATTTGAAAAGCAATGCCGCCTAATAGAACAATTAGTTATTAATTAGAAAAGAACAAGATGGTTAGAAATTTGAGGCAACAAGATTATCAGATTCAGAAACTTTACTCTTATGACTTGTGCGTGGGCTCTAATCAAGTTTTTCTTTTTTTGTTTCTCTTCTTCTTTTTTCAAGTCCAGAGTGTAGCGGAAACGCCGTGAGGCATTAAGCACTAGTGCTGCTTGCTGCAAATGAGTGAAAGTTCAGTTCAAATGCCTTGCAAGTCACACTACGCCTACAATTCCTTGCTGATATTACATTAGTAAAACACATGAACGTTTATCACTCGTACAAGTTGGTAAATTAGAAATTTAGAATAATCGATTTGTTTTTTGGGACCTGGAGAATGGTTACAGTTGAGACACGCTTTACAAGCTGTCAATATTTGGTGCCAGCTCACACTATATATGAGTCAGATTTGTCTTTTCAAAGATTCAATACTTTCCATTTCAGGCCAGAAAAAAAGTGCCTTCCGTCTGGTCAATTGACTGTAATGAGTTTCATTTTTCAGCTCTTCCATTAATATTTGACATATATTATTATGATTACACCAAGTGAATGCCTTTGCAAGTTGTTGATTTTCAACTCATTCTTTTCTTTTCAAACAAACTAAGCATGCATGCGTCCGCAAAAATGCATACATTAATGGCTCTAAACAGTAAATAGCAAAAAAAAAAAAAAAAACCAAAGAAAGAAAGGAAAAAGAGAACTGTGACCGACGAGGTAGTAAATAATCAAATCAAAACGTCTGAAATCTAGACGTCCAGATTATTTTCATTCAGTGAAACAAAATCACACAAACAAAGGCATATATGCACACTGAATCAATGAAAACAATGTCGGCGGTAATATACATAATGCAGTATAGGCACAACACTAACTAAGCATCATGCAAAATGCATACGAATGTGGCATTGTGATAAAGAATTCCAGAAATGGAGTCCAACCAGATTCATGCAATATACATCAGCTGATCTATCTACACAAAGACGAATATGTGTCTGCTGGAGATCAGAAAGAACAATGTATTTAATTGCATGCTTACTCTCCATCGCTGGAGCGCCTCACGAGGCGCATTCTTGGTTTGAGCAATATCGAAAGGATCTTCCGGATCCACCGGCGAGTCGTCGTCCTGATCATGGACATCAATGTGGTGGCAGGTGGAGGTAGAAGGAGAGTCACCGCCAACCGGCGGATGCGAGGCGACGGTGATGGTGAGGAAGCCATTATTATCGGAGGCACCGTTGGAACCTCGAGATGTGGAGGTCATAGTTATGCCGTCACCAATCGGAAATCAAATGGTGACTGAAATATATGTTAATCATCAATTACGCGCGCGAGATTTTTGAAGAAGAACCGAAGGAGCCAGCAAAATTGATCGCGACGTTCTAGCTGTTCACGCGGGGCTCGCCGTTTCAGCATGCTGAGCCATTGGAACGGACTGATAACTAATATATCAAAATTAAACAATGTCATTGCTTTTTACGTAAAATTATAAGAAAATAGAAATAAAATAAAGTGAAATAAACCAAAGAGTTTGGGTGCGTGGACGATGTTCGCTTCATTTGTTGGCTTTTGGTGGATGCAAATGTAAACGAGATTTAATGGGTGTTTGACAACACATAAAAATGTTTTTTTTAAAAAAAAATTTCCGTACAAATTTTTTACCGTAAAAACATTTTTAAAATTATAATTTAATTTCTATCTAAATACTCTCTTAAATAAAAAGAAATAAAAATTTCAAGATACAAATAAGCACATAATATGTATTTGTAGTTATTTAGTATTAGTATATATGTACACTACCTCCCGGGAGCTAATAAAGAGGTTTTCTTCAATTATAAACATAAAGATCTTAATCTAGGGTCTGTTTGAGATAGCATTTAGCCTGTTCAAATAGCATTGAAAAACATGTATAAGCACGTTTTATATAAATTGAGACAAAAAAATTTTCATATACTTACTCGAATTTTATAAATCACGATTAAAAAAACTACTTATAAGCTATTTTAAACAGGTCCAAGCACTTATCAGTATGTTTCATATAAACCAAAACAAAACTCCTTTCACATACTTATCTAGTATTTTCTGTAAATTATAATTGAAAAGCTACTTATAAGCTATTTCAAATATGCCTCTATTTTGTCTTATGGATTTATAATTATTCCCTCCAAATTTCCTTGCACATATTAAAAAAATGCCATTAAGAGATAATTTCTTGTGCAAATAACTATAAAGGCACTTTAGATAAATCAAAACATATCTTTTGTAAACCATTAAGTTAATTAGTCTTTTTAATCTTTATAAATTAGTTAACTAACTTTTATTTACAACTGAGGTCATAGTGTAAATTAGTTGATTAAAAATATGTTTAAATATTTTAAATAAAACAACCATCCTGCACTAATCAAACACCTACATTCAAATTTTTGGCAAACAAAATACCTATATTCAAATAAAAATTTTACTTTCTTCTTAAAACATTAGGGGACAAGAAAATACGTAAACAGCATGTTATTATTACAAATATCCAGAAGTCTGCTTGTATCACTCCTTTAAAAATATTAAATCTATGATTTCATACTTGAATGAAATCGCATAACACATGAAACCAAACAGGCACTTAAATGTCCTATATTTTATGCTTGTGTCATTGTAAAGATACATCTAAGTTTATTTTGGTTAGAACTGATCCATTGCAAAAGAGAATAATTTCTCTTGGATAAGCTAAGGGGGTTAAGAGTATAAACTTTGACAGCAAATTTTGTTTCATGTCTCAATTGTAATCAAAACTTCCACCAAACAATACTCCTCCGATCCTTAATATAGGATTCAATTGTTGAATTGGTTTTAATCCTAAATATAAGACTCATTTCTTATATTTATCAATTTTCTCTAAATTATCCTTATGGATACTCCCTCAACCATAATCAAGTAGAAGAGGAAAAGAAAGTATTAAGAAAGATGATTATGGTGTTTTAGAAAAAAATATGTCACGTTTCTTATAATTAACTAATTTACATAATTTTCTTAATCTAATCAAATTAATTAAATAGGTCTTATATTAAAGACCGGAGGAGTAATATATAAACCCTACCAGTTATGCCATAAGTAACATATAGATTTCTTTTTCAAAATACTGCTTCTGGTCTTTAGTATAACAACTAGATAACTAATTTATAAATATTAAAAAAATTAATTAAATTAGTTATTGATAATAAATAAATGTTATTTTCTAAATATTCTTATTAATAAGGTGTTGGACACTATTTCTAACCAGGATTTAAACCTTACACAGGACTCACTCTTTCTTCTATATTCAAACCCCTTGGTGCTTGCCATCACCTTTACTTTGCCAATAGCTTTTTATTCTAATAATATAAAAACTCTTGATACCGCTTATAACCTCTATCTATCTCTTTTTAAAAAGTTAGAAGGCAAGAACTAAGAAGTAACTTATAAATAGGATCTAAATCATGACCTTCTCCTTATAAATAACCTTTCACGCCATTGGACTATAAGGTTATCATTGTTTTGTGCCTCTTTGAATGAAAGAGAGACCAAAACTTTGCTTTTATTATGGCGAGGCTAAATGACAAAATCATTGAACTAAAATTTATAAGAGAGAGAGAGAGAGTACCGGGAGGGATAAGAGAGAGCGTATTGGATGAAGATGAGGGAACATAGAGTGTGGTTCTGCGAAACTTGCCTTAGGTCTGCGGCAGCATTTGGGACGAAGGAACCCGATGAACAAGATTGGAAATGTGCGAGAGCATAGGGGAAGAACTTGACCTTTCGAGTGAGCTTTAAGCTTTCACGAAGTTTCCACGAAACTTCCCCTACGGCCATTCATGATTGATTTAAAAAAATCAACAAAAAAAAAAACTTTGAAATTACCGACTCAAAAAACAAAAAATTGTTCTCACACTTTAATAGATTTTAACAGCACTTGATTTATAAATAACAGTATATTCTTGCAGGAATTTTTGTTTAAAATTTAGTAATTTTAAGTTTCTTTTTGAGATTCTCCCTATTTATTATTTCAAGAGTCGTTAATAAAAAAATTTTAAGATAAAAAATAATGACATTTTTCTCGTGTTTTATTTTTTTTTCTTTACTTTGAGTAGGGTGTCTGTAATTTTAGTTTTATTTGTTCATTATATTTTATCTATTTTAGTAGAATTTGATTTTTTTTTGGGAATAATTATATGGTCTAATTATTTAAAATTAATTAAGAGTTCAAATTCAGCCATAATGGTTTAATCATTTAATAAGCTACTCAAAAGGAACACTGGGGTCAATGTTTAGTCATTTAATTTAGTTTAATACTATTAAAATGAAGAAGTGTCAATGGACATTTGGCTTTGGTTTTTTCCTCAATTAGTGATAGACACTACACGCGGTAGTATCTGGTATAAGTTGGGTCAGCAATTCAACTTTCTAAAAAATTGCTAGTTGGGTTGACAAGACAAGCACCCGATTTATAAAGTAATTATGTAAAATTATGATTAATTTAAGTATATACTTTTATCAAAATAAACTAAATTTGATCTACAAAATTTTATAATTTAAAAATATTTTAAATATTTAAACACCGTAAAAAAAAAAAAAGAAGGGTAGATTGGCAAGCCAACCAATTAAAGTCATTCTATAATCCGTTTGATGACAGGGTCCAGTTTGAGACAGGTATTTTTCAGTCTGGCCCACCAAAGATCATATCTACGGCTGTCCAGCTTGCAACCGGCGTTAACCAGTATCACGAAGTATTCCTCCAGTTTAAACTACAAAATAAATCTCGGATCGGACTAAATGCTAACAACTCTACTGAGGCTCACGAGAACTTTCTGATCTGGGAGCTGACGTCAAATGGAGAGTGGTGGGTATTTCTGTCTCTGCGTCCGCATCACCGTGTGCGTCACGCTCAAAACTGTGTCGTTTTGAGTACTGAGCTGGTTTTTTTTTGTTTTTTAAATTCCTCCCCTTCTTTCTTCTTTTTTCCCATTTATGAGTTGGTGTCTTGGTGGAATCAAACTCATTAAACCCAAATTATTCAAATTTTAATTGAAAGGTTCAGGTTTAATTTTTTTAATTTTATTTTTAAAGAAATTATTTTAACTGATATAAAAATCTAAAATAAAAATACTTTCTTAACTGATATTATTAGAAAAATAATCTTTTATTTGAAAATAATCAATTAAAAATTTTGAATTGGGATAGTTTAGATTACATCTTGTCTAGATTAGACCTAGACGGTTCATATCCAATGAGATTGGGTATTACTACTTCCGATCCTAGTTATAAGAGCTAGTTAGTTAATTTGAGGAGATTAAAGAAAGAAGTTAAGTTAGTTATTTGTAATAAATAGGTGTTGTCTTTCTTAAAATATTCTTGCTAATCAAATATATTAGCTAGAACTATCATTATTAAAAGAATTACATTAGAAAACAATACATAAATATGAGAGACAAAATAAATAAAAGTTTTATATTTATGACTAAAATAAAAATCAAATAAAGTTTTGTATTAAGAATTGGGGGTAGTATCAAGGATAGGAGTTAGGATCAAAGAAGGTAACTTGTAGATATTTATAACGGCTGGCGGCATTAAAGTGTGTCCCGTGAGAATCGAGGTTCTGAATTTTCTCCTCGTTGTGGGGCATCAGCTTTTATGATAGTTGGAAGTTAAATTTAGTTTTAGATATAAGATCTTCATCATCTTAATTAGCTTTTCAATTTATCTCATTTAGTTAAGTATATATACTCTTTTGATTTTAAATATAAAATATTTATACACACTAATGTAAGAATTTTATATTTAGGATCGCAAACGTATTATAATATTATATTAAGGATAGGAGCCTGGATCAAAGAAGGCAACCTACAGATATTTATAACGGCAGGCAGCATTAAGGCATGTCACGTGAGGATTGAGATTCTGGGTTTTCTCCTCATGGTGGGGCATCAGCTTTTATGAAACCCATAGAGTCAGCAGCCGACAGCCGATTCATTTCACCATGAACTTTTTTTTTTTTAATTTTTTGACCTGAATACCGTCAACTATTAATAAACCTCGAATATTTTTGAAGAATTTCTAATAAAATAATATTTCAAAATGGAAATTTCAAAAGGGTCATTTCAATAAGCAAAATTTGTTTAGATACACTATAAGTACTTATAACCATATTTCATGTAAGTCAAGATAAAATTTCCCTCATATACTTACTTCGTATTTCGTAAATTATAATTGAAAAGTCATTTATAAATAATTTCAAGCGGACGGTCATTTGTCTCAAAGTGGAATTTTAAGTGGCTCGATGTTTACTTACAGCTTGTTTGAAGTTACAATATATAAGCATTTATAAATATGTTCACATAAGTTAAAATAAAACTCCTATCATATATTTACCTTATATTCCATAAATTAGGATTGAAAAGATAATTATAAATTATTTCACACAACATATTAGTCTTTTGGGATTTAAGGAGCGGTGGTGGGATCGAATCCCACTTTAACCACCTTAGCCTAAAAAATCCTAACCTTAGTGTTGGGGAACCTTTTAGAATTTCAAATTTCAAATGTTATGAAATTTTGCCAATCTTTTTTCTTTGTTTGGCTTTTTTTAAGGTAAACACGCATCGACAACTTTAGAAATTTCATAAAGTAGTTAACCTAAGCCAGTGCGTTCATATTAACTTCCTTGTTGGACGGATAACAAGCTCTTATTTTAAAGCATGCATTTCTTATAAATATGATTGAAGTCGTGGCCTTTCAACAATACCAAAGTTTTTATACAATTAGGTTATAAATCTCTTTATTAAAACAGATTTATTATTACCATCAAGCACTTAGATCAATCGAAAAACAGATTTATTATTGATGCATGCTACTTCCGTCTTTATTTATGGGTCTTTAAATTTCTATGTTGTCTCTGTTATGTTTGTTGAGGAATATCTCAATTTATATCCATAATATTCGATTATTTTATATTTAAATTGATATGTTAACTTAAAAAGAAAAGTCATTTAAATAATATTTGATTGGTTGTAAATTATATAAACAGTGGCTTGAATTGAATCGCAATCTTAAAGGGAATAAGATTCCTGTTAAAGATGAAGCTACTCCAATTTGCAGTGTAATCGTCACGTTTGGATGCGGTGTGTAAGTGAATAGAAAAAGGAGGCGACATTTCGTGAATTGCTGCACATGCCTGGGAAATAGCGGGCCAGAAAGAAAGAGCCGGGAAAATGAATGCGGCATCAACGAGACACAAATCTTTATTATTGATGTCAATAATAGTCATTCTTCATAGAAAAAAAATATAGGAAAAGATTAAAAAGAAAACATGATTAATAAAAGAAAATAAAATTTTATCATGAATAAAAACTCATAATTATATTTATTTTGGGAGTAATAACCTTACAAGTACAAAATTTATTGTGGTAGGTGAAAGACCACACTTATAAGTAAAACATGAAAATATACTTAATTATAGAAGCTCAATTACATCAAGATGACTCATTTTTTGACACTTCCATCACCAATTAAGTGATCAATTCTTCCATCAGGATCGGCAAAGAAATCAGTAACATCCAAATGAGTAACATCCATGTTGCCTTAATCAGAATCGCCTTCTTCTCCCAAAAAATTTGTTTCCACCTTTGGCTCTTTGCCTTTATTTTTATTCTTATATTTTTCAGCGATTCTTGGTAGAGGTCAACCAAATGCTTTGGCGTGCCACCACAACAATAACAAAGATTTTCAACATGATTATTATTTCCACTAGATTCTTTTTGGTGATGCCCATCATTATTTGCCCACTTCTGGTGGGAACGACCGCCTCCATGACCACGGTCACGTCCACAGCTACGGCCACAACCACGACCCCGTCCACGTCCACGACCATGGCTACGGGTTGATTCAATTGCTACTACATTCGCTTCTTGGAATGGAGTGGAACTAGTAGGACGGGATTCATGATTCCTCATTAAAAGCTCATTATTTTGCTCAGCCACAAGCAAGCAAGAAATTAATTCAGAATATTTGTTGAAACCTTTCTCACGGTATTGCTGCTGCAAGAGCACCTTGGATGCATGAAATGTGGAGAATGTTTTTTCTAACATATCTTTATCAGTGATATTTTCTCCACATAATTTCAGTTGAGAACTGATTCTAAACATTGCAGAATTATATTCAATCACAGATTTAAAGTCTTGTAAACGTAAATGCATCCAGTCATAATGAGCCTTAGGGCGGATTACAGTTTTCTGATGGTCATACCTCTCCTTTAAATTGTTCCAAAGAACAAGTGGATCTTTTATGGTCAAATATTCAATCTTGAGCCCCTCATGCAAATGGTGACGTAAAAAGATCATGGCTTTGGCTTTATCTTGGTCGGATGCTTGGCGGCCTTCCTTGATTGTGTCTTCTAGATTATTGGCCTTTAGATGCATTTCCGCATCTAATATCCATGATAAATAATTCTTTCCAGTAATGTCAAGAGCCACAAACTGAAGTTTCTTGAGATTTGACATGATGATACTATCATATAAAAAGTTAAATGAAAATTAATATTAAGATAATAGAATAGTTATGAAACAAATCAATATGAATAAGAAAATGGAATAATTATAAAACAAATCATTATAGAAGTGATATAGAAATTTACCTTCTAGTTGATTAGCCTTACTACAACACCTTCCGATTACAAGAGCGCTTCGTGCTGATAACGTAAAAATTAAACAATGTCATTGCTTTTTACGTAAAATTATAAGAAA